GACGTCGTTCCGGAAAAACGTCGGTCGGGGGGAGGCACGTCACGTGTGCTCGGATGCAGATGCGGTAGAGGCTGCCGAATTGAGGAATATGACGTTGCGTTGGTTTTCTTTTATGTTCACCAGTTTGTTTCAACTTGCTGCCAGAGTAATTTCGTCGAGCAGAGAATAACTAAAAAGGAATCTGTCAGAGAAAAGAGAGTAACTTCGTAATATTCTCTGAAGAATGATTCGCTTTATAAAATATTCGAATTGTTTTTTACGAAGAGAAATGGTTAACTCTATTGAAATCTGCAGAACAAAATAACACGTTTTCTTGGTTGTAATTTTTGTTACAAAATCATACTCTCCATTTTCATAGAGATTTTTTTATAGAGTCAGAACTACGGTTTTTTTTACGCACTCTCATTTTCGTTTTATTGCCTGTTAATTCCTTTAAAAAATGCGTGCTTTCTTACGAGCAAGAAAGTGAACGTAATAGTGAGAAGTTTACTACTTGCGGCATACTGACATAAAAAATATTTTAAACCTCTATCCTGTTGCGATAGAAAATGAGAATGGATAAGGAAACCCGTAGCTCTGACATAAGAGAGGGTGATTTTATATCATAAAATAAATCAATAAAACGTGTTTGTTTGTTCTACAGATTTCAATTGTCCTAACCATTTTCCCTCGTAAAAAAAATTCGAATATTTCATGAAGCAAATCATTCTACAGAGACCATTATGAAAGTATCTTTGCAACCACTATCTGTTACTCATAATTCTTTGCCATATTTGATTCGCATCGACACGATCTTTCCCCACACCGCCTCTATCACTCCATTCCTTCACGTAAAGCTTTGCTGAGTAAGACTTCCTTCCCTAACAGGCTGACATGTTGGCCCACCCCCTCCCCGGCGTTTACAGCGCGGTGTCTCCGGTGCCTTAGCCCCCGGAGCGGCGAGCGAGACTCGGAACACGGCTGAACCCCGTGGCCTCGGTTCGGAGGTCGCGCGCCGGGCCTCGCGATAGGAATCGGGCGGGCCTCGGAGGCTCCGTCATTTTACAGCGTGCTAATGAAAGCCGGCGGGCGGCTGGGGGGCGGGGGGGGCGAAGTAACAGCGCAGTAAATCCACGGCGCGACGTTCACGAGCCGCCGATCTGTATCCGCGCGCGTAATGCCGGCTTAATTATCTGGGCCTCCGCGCCGCTGTAAAACGACCGTGTTGCCCGACCTCGCCCCAGCCCCGCTCGACGCCGCCGGGCCCACGGCACCCCCACGGCATCCCCCCGGCGCTGGGTGGAACCCCGCCTGCACCCCAACCTCTTCGCTGTCTTTTCTCTCTCGCGCGCCGTCCACGGTACTATTCTCGGTTACGCCCCTGCCCCCTGTGTCCACCTTCTCCTTCAAAAGGTTTCGATATCTCCAAAACAACAATCTACAATGCATTTATTGTCTCCTCTCCAAAACTCCATCTTCCCCTCACTTTTACTTCTTTGTTCCACCTCTCTTGCTGATGCTGTTTTCGTTTCTTTGCCTCTGCTATCGGCGGACCAGAGTACAACCACGTCCCACCCTCACATTTTTTCTTTCTCTCAAGTCCGTCTCTCCGCCCAACTACGTTTCCCCTGCCGACCTCCACCCCTATTGCTGATTCGTTACCCTCTCACGTCTGCATGTTCTGAATTTTTTACCCGGGTTTGAAGACTTGTCTCAATAACGAGGGGGCATGTTCGAACTTTCCGAGGAGACATACATGTTCTTTTGCTGTTTCGGTATCTTCTTCACTGTCCCTCTTTAGTGTTCGTGCATACCACATTCAGAGAAAGGGCGTAGAAGACGGGAGTCGATCCTAGATATGGTATGATGTCTCAACGTCGCGATTGTCAGAGTAAAAAGATTCCGACCGCAACTCCGCGTCTCGTATCAAGCTAATTCATCCATATTCATTCGATCGGATATCGACTGTCCGTTCAATCTCGCGTCGCATGAGGGACTGCGCAGCCAGACTTCGATTTCCTCAGCCTCCTTCAGCAACATATTGATAACGTCTCGTCTTGCACTCGTCCCGTCCGTCAACGCCGGCTCGTCGCGGTCGGTTGCTTCTTCTGACGCACCACAGCCGACCGCTCGCTTTCGTTCTCGCTCGACCACATTTCCAGATGCCGCCACCGCTGAGCCTCACCGGGCGAGCATTTCACGACTTGGGAAAACGTTCCTTTTGAAACCGTGCGCTCCGCGAGAATTGGACTGCGTGAAACCAAGAGCCCCCGAAATGGAATCCGCCAGCCAACTCTCCAGCTGTGGCGGGGGCGGGGGTTGTTGGTTGACTGACAGACGCAACTGCACGTCACGTCTCCTTCTTCTGCTCCCCCCCCCCTTGCGTCTGGGAGGCGCTTCGGACACGGGCGTTTACTTCTTCACAACCGCCCGGCGCAGGCGCGGCGGCGAGACAGCGGCATGGAAATGAGTTTCGCGCGCGCGCACGCTCGTAGGTACGTGTCCATCGCTGAACCGTCCATTACCCACTGACAGGCGGCGCCGCTGCCGCGACGACGGCCCCGAGAGCGAGAACGCATAGTCCGCGTCGTCCCCTACACGAAGCGAAAGTAAAGAAGGAGCTTCGTAATTTTGAGACGGATCCGGGCTGTATTTTAAATGATATGTCGGATGTAAGTTTTGAATTCTATTAGACTTTCTTTGCATTTGCTGCTCATAAATGACACATGTTCCACGAGTTCCTGGATCCATTGTTCACGCTGTTTAGAAAACAGGTTTGTCTCATTTGTATACAGAAACATTCTTAACATATTTCAACACGGAATCTTAACGTATTAATGTGTTAGTTGTATTGGATGTTGATGAAGAGGGCGCGCTCAGGAGAACAGATTCACATGGCCACGGTCTTTCTGTTTCTTAGCGTCTTCGGTACCGTCAAACGTGAACAACGTGTAGCTTATCTGAGAACGTGTCTCCAAATCTCGTAGAATTTTGCAACATTATGAACAACAGTCCTTGTAGAGAATATTTTCCCGGTAGAATTCGTCCTTTTTCGGTGTTGTTTTCTCTCTCAATTCCCTTATCAAGACAACGGTATTCGAAACAAATTAATTTTCACGACCCTGATCAGAGTTTAAAGAGAACAAACACTTACCAAGAATGTTAGAGAATAGATCGTTTCAACACTGTGTTCATGTGTCGGGTTAGTATCTTTCTTAAATTTAGTAATCGCTGCGTTGGGTAAAAAACATCACCCAATACAAGTTAAATAATCTTGCAATTGCTTGAGGTCGCCTGAGTAAAGCATAAGCCAGTGTCAATGAAAAAACATTTTCCGTGTCAAATGTGAGTTATCATAAAATAATTTTAATTCTTTCACGGTGTATGTTAGCGTGAGAAGCCAGAAAAGGTATGTTTTCATATAGAAAAAAGCATTAGTTAGCTTTGAAAATTAAACATAGGCTGCCGTGTGTGATGAATACTTACGATTTTAGCAAAACACAGTGGCCGGGCGGTGCGGTAACCCGTCTACAAAGCCCCATCTTCCCAAATTCCTGCGCGATAACGAAAGAGGCGATCCTTGTTCCCCTCACGCGGAACACAACGCTGCCCAAGTAATTAAAAGTCGAGGAGCGCACGGATCAAACCTTATCACGGCATCCGACGACTCGCCCCGTCCTCCATGCGCATGCGGTATCACACGACACGGACCGCCACTCGAGTGTCCTCGCCGGAGCCTCTCGAGGACGGTAGAGGCGTCCCTCCCCCACCTGCAGATAAGCGCCTCTCAATTAAACCCATCTCGAGTTATGAGCAGCCGACGGTTTCGGTTAACGACTCGCCACATAAACGTCAATCCTGCCCAATCCACTCCCACTCAATTAATGCAACAACTTTCAAGATTTGAACGTTGGCTTGTCCTACCGATTTATCGCTCACTCAGAGGGGCCGCGTTAATCTTATTAATGCTATGCAAGTAAGATGTTACCCGCGGTGTGCTCCTCACGGTATGCCGTTTTCATGAAATACAGCCTTCCCCCTTTTTCCTTCTTCTTTTTTTCATTCCCTATCCGCCTCGGGAATCTTCTCCATTCTCTCGGGTTTTAAATCTGAATTTTTCATCAGTATTGTGCCGCTTTCTTAATTTAATACGCGAAGTTGTGTCGTAAATTGGGAAGGAAACCACTGGTTCTGAAGCTGTTCTCCCTAGAACAATACTTCTCTCCCGGTTTACCTGCCCGCCGCGCGCCCGATATGATCTGTCTCGTTCCCCTGGCAGCAGGGCAGCTCCGAGAGGAAGGAAGTCTTCAGGAGGCCATCGAACTGTGGTTCACTTTTCGTGCCTCTCGCAAAGTGGTTCACTAGAAACTTTATAAGTTGAGTACAACTCCCTTTGGATTCAACTATTGATATATTATCTAAATATTTCTGTAATTGCAAAATACATCTTCATTTCTCTTCTTAATTAAATATAAAAAACTTTGTTTACTAGTTTTCCATATAATTTTAGGATTAGATTAACAGAAATTTGATGATCACATTTTGTTGTGCTGATTTCTGTACCCAATACTTCCTAAGAAGTTAGAAATAAGCACTTACAAGAATTAAGGCAATATTAACTTAAAATAATTTTCGCATCACGATCTTGCTCAATAGTTAAATATTAAGATAAAGCCTATATTTATTATTATCAAAAAAATAAAAAAGATTCCTTTTTGTTGTTTATTGCAATACTGTTAAAAAAGTGTTTGAGTTCGTGCACCAAAAAGCAGTAAAAAATATTAGTACTTCGTTAGTGTAACATCTTAGAATCGCAATCAGCCACGAATTTCTCTGCAAATTTCCTGCTTGAAGATGCCACCCAGAGCGTATTTCATTCCTTTTTTCGTTCTCTCACTTGAAGATCCAGTTTCATTATGGCAATATCATCAATCTATCGCCTCCGTTTCGTCGCCCTGGTTTCCATCACACGCACACAAACACACACACACACGCTGAACCTTGTCCGTTTTCGTCCACAGGTACCTGCAGTACGGGTTTAAGTACCACCTTGAGTCTCCCATCTCGACGAGCCAGCGCAGAGAAGACGACCGCATCACCTACATCAACAAGGGCCAGTTCTACGGCATCTCGCTGGAGTACATCCCCGACCCGGACAAGCCTCTCAAGAGCAACACCGTCAAGGTAAGGAAGAAAAGACTGTCGCCGCCGCGAAAGCGGGAAAGCGACTGTCTCCTGTTTCTGTTTGCGCGCGCCTCCATTTTGTTCTTGTGTTCGTTGTCCGACAATCGTGCTAATAGCTTTGAAACGAGCGAACGCGACGTCTTTTCCTGTTTGTTATTGCGGATATGCGGAGGCAAATGTATGAAATTCATGGGAAAGATCTTGCGGAGATGTTCTGCAAGGAATTTTTTAATCTCTGGAAAGCGGATGACATAGAATACATTTTTACAAGCTCTTTCAGAATGTGACATACTACGAGTGTGTTCCTGGAAATTCATACAGGTTCTTATTAGCTACATGTAGTAAAACGCTTGATGATTCAGTCGCTCAGTGGAAACAACTGTTTCGAAGTATATCTCGATTCTGAAGAGAGAACATAATATATCCAAGAGAATTTATTGACATGGATAGCGCAAAGTCTGACCCGCGTTTAGACATAGTTTAGCTTATTTAACAAAACGTTAATTTTATGTTAAAGTTTCCCTTGTTTGATCACATCGTCATCTCCTTAGAAAAACTTGATTTATCATGAGTTTGAATAGATGAAAAAAACTAAACAGTTTGGATTAGAAGGCCTAATATAAACTCTTGTAAAGACAACATATTATTTATTCAACCAGTAACCTTCATCGTAGAATGCCCTTCTATTATTTAATCACTCCTTGCAACCCCGTAGAACAAACATTGTTACAGTAGCTGGACTGGAAAATTCGTGTTCACGCTTGCGGTAAAAACCACGCTCGCATCCGGAATGCTTTCCACCCTTCCTGTTTCGTGTGCCAAAATGAGCGGGTTCTCATCTCACCTCGCATCTAACTTTTTAAAAAAAAGGTTTGAATCGCAGGCGTGTATCTTTATGGAACACTCGCGATAAGCGCCGTCGGTTTGTCATCGTGCCAAGGGGGTCGCGTCACTGCCCGTCACCCTCACGCCAACGCTATGGCGGTCAAGTAGTCAATGCCCAGGAAGAGGCCGGACGGCGCACCGAGAACCGTTGTAGGAAACTGGGACTCTCGAAGTACTCTTATTCTATACATATAGGATTATTAATCTATTCTAGGAATTGTTTCTCTTAATTTTTATTTTTGTACTTTCTTTGTCGATAAACTCCCACCTAGCGTACGCTTATTTGTAGTAATAAATGATTATTATTATTATTATTATTATTATTATTATTATTATTATTATTATTATTATCATTATTATTATTCAGGTATTTGTGAGCACAATTTTTTTAAGAATTTAAAAAAAAATATGTTTTTTTAGAAGTTGGAAATCAACATAATATTTGTAAGATAAGTAGTTTAACAGTAAAGTGAGCGGAACAATCCGGAAAGTTACAATGGAATGACATTAGTTTACATGGCAAACTTCATGTCAACAAAAAATTAAATTTATAGAGAGTTATAGTGTGTACAGTGAAATAACAGAGAGTTATAGTGCGTAGAGTGAAAAATAACAATACTTTTTCGGTTTTGTTCAGTGCCATGTCGAAATTTCAGCACCAGAATGATGTTCATTCTGTTTTGAAGAGTCTAAAGCAAGACCGAAGATCCATAAATCCTTCGTAGGTTCGCTTCCCCACAGCAAACACTTACTGCGAAACGTGACAACCCTGCGTGTCGAAAAACAGCGCTGCAGCGGAAAAGATTCGCGCGATTCAGTTCCACGTCGCGAGCACAAAGGCGGGTGGGCGATGGCGGGGGCGATATGCCGCGAAGTGATCGCATCTGGCCATCGTCGCAGCCTCCGCCGTCGCCATCACCTCCCTCCTGCGTCGCCAACGCCGCCTGCGCCGGCACAACTTCCATCACTGTTACCAACGCTATCGCTGTTATTTTCAGTTTATGAAACTTGCCTCGCAATTGCAGGAGGGTTGTTGCCGCCCGCTTTCTCTGCCGTCGTGTCCGTCAGCCGCACGCACCCTCTAAAACCCCTACAAAACCTACAATCTGTGCAACCCCTTTACCTCACTAGACAGTCAACCTGCCACCACACCACCTGCGATAAGCGTGCCGCCTACTGGCAATCGACCAGTAATCCCTCACCAACCCATCCACCAGCCCTTTCTCTGGTTCTTCACTCGTCGCCCGCAAACTCAACCCGCTTCCAACCACCCGTCTACTTCCTCACTCATTCAACCACCCACTCACGCGCTCGTTCATTCTCTCACCGCTCTCACCCACATTCTCACTCACCTACCCACTCATCCACTCACCTGCTCACTCACTCAGACACATGCCACCCACGCCCGCCCCCTTCCCCCGCTGTCGATCCGCCGCGCCCCGCAGCCTCCGCCGTCGCGTCGCATCGCGTCGCGTCGCATCGCATTAGGTCACGTCGGTCGCGTGCGATTCGCTCCGCCCCGGCCGCATCCTCTCCGACCGCCCACGCCGGCCTCCTCCGGGCGCCGCGCGCTCTCTCTCCCTCTCCCGGCCACCGCGCGCAAACACGTGCGTCACGCGGCCGCTCAATGGGCGCAGCGCCGCGCCGCGCCGCGCCGCTCGATGCGCTGTCGAACGCTATTGAGTGCGGCTGCCTCCGAGCTCCCAATGCATGAAAGCGGACGGGCTAAAAGACTCCGCCAAGCAACGACTGGTCTGTGAAGGGGGCTTTGAAAGCTGCTCCATGTGTAATTAAATTAGTGCTGAATTTGACTGAATGGAGGCTTTGTGCTTAGCAATAGAAACTAGTATAATTAAGTATAAAAGAGTGTTTAGCAATAGAAACTATTGTAATTACGGGAAGAATAGAACGTAAATAGGTTGACGACTTTCAAAATAGCAATGGTTTCTTTTATGTTATTAATTTTGACACTAACACAAATGATACACATTTGGGGAGAGGAAATTAAAAAAGAATTTACATAGCCTTTACAACAAAATGCATTTGAATAGTCCGTATTTGACCAACACGTCAGTTTCACTTATATTTTAAGTTTTCTGTAACTACCTGAAAAAAATACACTACCTCACACTCGCTACTATAACAACATTTATTTCGACCTACCGCCTAAAGGTTTAACTCTATAATAAAGCGAACCAAATAGTTCCTCCGACTTGATAGGCGACGGAGGCGCTGTGAGCGGCGAAAGCACGCACCGCGCGCCGGGACGCTTTCCGCCGCGCACGCAAAGGCGCGCCCGTTTGCCTCCATCGATCAGACTATCGATCCCTGCGAGCGATTACCACCGCACCTGCCGCCGCCGCCCCTCCCCGCCTCCGTCCTGCCCCAAGCACCCGCCGCCGCCACCATCCCTCCATGCTTCAATGCCGATGCCGAATCATTTCATCAGCCTCCATGGACCTTGTTGCTACAGACCTGTATACGGAATAAACGAATGTTGTCGTTCAGCGCAGACCGTTTCGAATGTGCAGAACATGGCGCAGACCGTCGCCAACTACCATTGCGCAGACCGTCTACCCGTCTGACCGTCTTTACAAGGCACTTTCGTACCACCGATTTCACGTTTCTCCGGGCTACTGCGGGATTACTCGAACCGGACTCCTGATCCCACACTCCTCTTCTCATCAATGTCACTACCAACTCCCGACATCACTGTGGACCCATCTTTCACAGAAGTCATCACTGGACCCCTTCACCTGTAGTATGATACATTATCATCGTATCATCACCACTACCACAATCATAGTGATGGCCCATGTCACTACTACCATCATTGCAAGTACTTCCATTTATGGACTTGCTTTGCAACCGGCACTCCCACCTTCACTGATCGTTATCCCCCACCCAGTGCTCGCTTTGATCCCGCTTTGTTTGGCGTGCCGATCGGCCCCCACAGATGGGTCGGCTGCGCGCTGCCCTGCCGCAGGCGCCGATTTTAGTCCGAGGCCGATTGGGAGCGTCCGTGCCTGGGATCGGCCT